AACAATGCCCCACACACTGGTGGCCTTGGGCAGGGGGCAGCTGGTTGGGAATGAAGGGCACCAGCAGAGTTGGGAGCATGGGGGTCTGGGGGTTGTGAGTGAGGGGCACTGGCAGGGCCAGGAGGTTGTTTTCTACTTGAACTGTTTACTGGGTTGGGCCTAGCCATCAATGTTTACAAAGGCTTGAGAACCACGGGCTTAACTGACCTCTAGAGAGCCTTTCCAGCCCTGCTTCTTGATGACTGTCACTCAGTTGCCCCCTTCCCGGCCCTCGCTTCTTCCATATCACTTCCTTACCCTCAACCCCGCCGCAGGGTAAGTGCTTTGCCCTGTCTCTGAAGAGATCTTCCTGGGTGCTTTTTTTTCCTCTCCTGTAGACCGAGGGAGACGTGTGCTTTCACGGGGAGGAGGAATCCAGCTCAGGATGCTATCTGCCATGATGTGCGAGTGATATCATAAAAAATGTCACCCCAAAAATCCTTGCCTGGGCTGATCCAGCATGTGGGGCCGTGCCAGCCAGCATCCACGGGGCTCGCTAGGGGTCCAGAAATTAGGCCAGCAGGATGAGTGGTGACAGTGTTAAAAGCTTTGTCTCCAGGAGCCTCTGCAGTTTACTCTGCCACCAAACTCTTGGAGATATGGGAACCCCTGAAGGCTGTACCTTGGTCACCTTGGGTCTAGATCCTATTCAAATATTGTTACTGGTGTTGCAGTTTCTTTCTGAATTTGTCCCACGTGGGAAACTCAGACATCAAACTGTTGGCTTATTTTCATGTTGCAGTGGGGTAGTTTCTTGTAGGCTTCAAAACTCAGATGTTCAAAGAAAGGGCAACTGAATGAAATACTTAATAAAGATTCTTTGGCTGGGTGACAGCATGGAGTTGCTATAGCAATTAATTTTTTGTGTGCTGTGTTTGCTAGGGTGCAACCCATTCTTTACGGGATACTATACTTTCTCATGTCTGACCATTGCTCACTATCAGTAGTCTTATGAGGGGTGGGCAACTGGGTCTGGTGCCGTGGTCACCCCCTTGGGGCATGTCACTACTGTTGTCTACCTCTGCTCACCATTTTATGGCCAGGACACAGAATTAAATGTTACGCTTAGGTTGATAACTGAAATCTTATTTGGGGTCATAGAATGAAATCCATCTGTAATACCCAGTGTATTTGATGACAAGTTAGATAAGGCTCTCAAACTATCTAGCTCCTGCCACAATTGCTATTCACAACAGGAGCAGCACAGACTTACTTTCTGGACAATACACAGTAGCTGTCTGGGGACTCTGGCCTAGTGGGAGCACAAGGGCAACAGGTTATATGGGAAGGTAGCTGTAACCTGAGCGTCATTAAAGTTAGCACCATGTGACAAAGTTTAATCTTGCTGTCATGCAGATCATCAGGTTTTCATTAAACTGGCTAATAAATAAGCAGCTTTGCTCAGTTCCTTGAATCCAACATTCATGTCATTTTGTATCTGCCAAATCTTTTATCTTCACTCTTGACAATGATTTTGATCACGTTTACAAGAAATTATCTTGTACACAGAATCATAGAAAATTAGGGTTGGAAGGGACCTTGGGAGGTCCCTGCTCAAAGCAGAACTATCCCTGACTATTACTCCAGCCAAGACTTTGTCTAGCCAGGTCTTAAAAACTTTCAAGGATGGAGATTCCACAGCTTCTCTGTGTAACCTGTTCCAGTGCTTTACTACCTTCCTAGTGAGAATTTTCCTAATATCTAACCTAAACTTCTCATGCTGCAACTTGAGACCATTGCTCCTTGTTTCATCATCTGCCATGACTAAGAACAGTTTAGCTCCATCGTTGCTGGAACCACCCTTTAGGCAGTTGAAGACTGCTGTTAAATCCCCGCTCAGTCTTCTCTTCTCTGGGTTAAATAAGCTCGGGTCCTCCAGCCTCTCCTTGTAAGTAGGGTGACTGTATGGGACAATGTGAAACCCGGGATGCTGCCCCCCCTACCCACCTCAACTTATTGATGCAGCTTGGTGCAGCTCTAGTAATACTATTCAGGCAGCTAAGGGAGTCAGTGACTTATTGTTCTTTACTTGTCATCTCCCCTTTTTAATGGTCATTCCAGTAATCAAGCTAACTGATTTTAGGGCAGTTTTACTGTCTGCCAGGCCTTCCTATTTCACAGCTTCTGCCACTCCATCCTGTACCCAGGATGCTTATTTTAATTTATTATCCGACTGGGGCCAGCCTCTGAAATCTGGGAATGTCCAGCCAAGCCTGGATGTATGGTTACATTCCTCATAAGTCACGTGTCCCAGCCCCCTATCCATTTTTGTTGTCCTCTGCTGGCCTCTCTCCAATTTGTCCACATCCTTTCTGTAGTGGGAGGCCCAAAACCAAACAGTACTCCAGATGTGGCCTTACCAGTGTTGAATAGAGGGGAATAATCACTTCCCTTGATCTGCTGGTAATACTCAGGCTAATGCAGCCCAGTATGCTGTTAGCCTTCTTCATGCAAAGGGCACAGTGTTGACTCGTATTCAGCTTCTTATCTGCTGTAACCCCAGGTCCTTTTTAGCAAAGCTGCAGCTTAGCCAGTCGGTCCCTGACCTGTACCAGTGCATAGGATTTTCCATCCTAAGTGCAGGACTTTGTACTTGTCCTTATTGAGCCTCATGAGATTCTTTTTGATCCAATCCTCTAATTTGCTGAGGTCACTCTGAATCTTAGATCTGCCCCTTGTTACTTTGAATTACCAATTTATTAAATCAAGAGCAAGACCTTATAAAGGGGGATAAGGCAAAATGCTGCGTTTATTGATTACATGAATTGGACATAGAGGTTCAGACACACCACTCATATAGACACACACATAAATCATCATACACATCATTACACATGGGTGCACACAAACTAAAAACAGCCATTCCATTCTGTCATAGTTACCAGCAGCAGTTGTTCAATAATAGCACTGGGTGGCCAGCCCAGGTCTTATTGAGAGAGAGAGATCCTGGAGATAGCAGCTTGGAGCAGGGTGAACAGACATGTCTGTGCTCCAAAGAAACAGCAGTTGAGAGAGTTGAATATACTGAACCTGGTATACTCTAGATTCCTCTTTTTATGGGGGTTGGCATCCTTTGTTTAGCACTTTGGAGTTTTTCCATATGCAATTTCTGTTTTTGCAGTTGTTTCTTATCCATCTGCTTATCTCAGCCCAAAGTCAGTTTGGTCATAAAGTTGGTATCTCAGCCTTGGAGTGTCCTTGCTGCCGATCTGGCAGGATGTGCGCATTCCTCCTTGTTATCTCCTTTGTGCCCTAGGCCTCAAAGGGATTCTTCAGCCAATTATTAATTAGCTTACTGGTTGGTAACTTACATTTGGTACCTTGTTGCTTACATAAACAGTTAAACCTTCTTGTCCTGTCTCTGCCATTCTCTCACCATTTACCCTTTCACATACACTCATTCATAAAAGGGCATGTAGAGTTCATTCACTTATGTCAAGCAAAAGAAAACAAAATGGAATTTTTAAGTTACTTAGAGGACAAAACTAACATGGTTACATTTCACTGCTATTACACTCTATGTTAACATCAACTACATTAGTTCAGTTCATGCTACACCAGGGGTGGGCAAAATATGGCCCACGAGGCTGTTCTATCCGGCCTATGGGGCCCCTAAAAAAATTTAGAAAATTAAAATATATTTGCCCTTGGTTCCTGTCAAAGATGACAGAAACCAAGGGCAGTAGGATCGAGGGGAAGCCCTGGAGGACTCCTTCAACACCAGGGCCTGCCTGCCCCCCCCCCGTCCCCCCCACCTCCCCTGAAGCCCCAGCAGGGGCTTCTGGCCTGGGATCATGTGGCTACCCTGGCACGGGAAGCTCAGGTGGGTGGGAGGGGGAAGGGCAGGGGATGAGCTGGTGTGGAGCATGGGGAAAAGTGGCCTCTCCCTTGCCCCATAGCCCGCACTCCCTGCTGCAGCCGCTGGTAGCCCACATGGGGCTGTCCTGAGCAGGGACAGGCAGCCCCACGTGGGCTGCAAGTGGCTTCAGCGCTGGGCACGAGGCAGGGGAGGGGCCACTTTTCCCCACGCTCAGCACCAGCTTGTAACCCAC